TGTCCCAGTCCAGCCCTGTATGCAGCTCATCTGCAGTCTGGTGTTGCTTACATCTTCCTACTCAGAAGGCAGAATTTCAGAGCTCTGAGTACAATCGAAAGCATCACGACTGCAGTTTTTGTGTTGGATGTAAAAGGCGCACATGACGCTGTGATGTAGGCTAGAATCATGGCAGCAGTCAATGACGGTCCAGGTGTGGGATTTCTCTCGTGGAAATATGCACATTATTATTTTTTCTATTGGTAGGTGGCACAGTGCACTTGTGGCAAGTAAACAAGCTAGAAGACTGGCAAAGTTATGGAAGCAACACATTAACAAGAGAATTCTGAGTAAAACTAAAGTTACTTTCCCTAGTAACTAGTTACTTTGAAAGTAACGAGTAACTTGAAGTAACTGAGTTACTTTTGATAGAAGTAACTAGTAATGTAACTGAGTTACTAATTTAAAGTAACTTACCCAACACTGGTGTTAATAGACCTCTCTGCACTGATTCATAGTTGTTATTAATCTCCAGCTCCCATCCACAGCATGTCTTTCATCCTGTCTTTCTTCCCCAACCGGTTCTGCTGGAGATTTCTTCCATTTAAAAGGGAGTTTTTCCTTCCCACTGTTGCCAAAGTGCTGATGATTGTTGGGTTTTTCTCTGCATGTATTATTGTAAGGTCTACCTTATAATACAAAGCTACTTGAGGGGACTGATTTTGTGATTTGGCGCTATATAAATAAAACTGAGCTGAATTGAATTGAATCTGAAGACCTTTGAGCTGATTTGCTCATCAGGTCCATCTTTGGGGAGATCACAAAAACAACCAAGAAAGACATGCAACTCCACAACAGTCAGAGGGGTTTTGTAGCTGTTTTGTTTCTGTTTGTGTCACGGCGAGTGGAGTGAGCAGTGGGGAAATAATAAATGAGGATCCAATTGCAGGCAGTAGTGAAGGTGAGGTGGTTTATTGAACACAAAATGCAAATGGAGAAACAGCAAACAGGACTGAAAACTATTTAAACTGAGAACAACTAAACTACTGAACACAAACCAGGACCTGAACATGAAGGAGGATGAGCAGAGGTAAATGACGACGGACAGCAGGGAGAACACACAGATGAAGCATGGTGGATACACAGACGGACCAGCCACTACAATGACAGAAAACACGACTTAAAAACACATTTAGAGAAACACAGGGAGATTACACACAGGTGGGGGACACAGCTGGGAGTGATTAACGAGATGAGACAAGGGAGGTAAACTGAACACACTCACATGAGACATAGACTTTCACAATAAAACAGGAAACAAGAAACCACTAAACAAAGACGCAGACATGACACTGAGAGACAGACTAGACACTGAACTAAACCTGCAATAAACATGCTAACACAAAACCTAAGAACTAATCCCTAAACAAGAATAACTGAAACATAGATTTATAATAATAATAATCATCATCATCATCATCATCAAAAGCACCACAATAAGAAAAGAATCCAAAATGCGAAAACACACCAAAACATAACTCAAAATACTGGGTCAAACTGACCCAGAACCGTGACAGTTTGGGTGTCTAGCTTTTCTGTACGAATGCTGTTGTGAAAAGGTATTTGCCACCTTTCTGATTTATTGTTTGTTTGTTTGTTTATTTGTTTATTTTTGAGTAAATGCAAAATTGTTTTTAGATGACCATTTCATTTATTAGGGAACAAAAGCTTTAGAACCTAGGTAGAGCAAGAGGTAGAGCAGGCCCTCTACTAACTGGAAGATTGGTAGTTTGATCCCTGGCTACTCCAGTCTGCTTGGCTTGGGCAAGAAACTGAACCCCAAGTTGCTCTTTGATGCATTCATCAGCGTGTGAATGTAAGCCAGAAAGCATCAGGTGTAGAAAAATGTGCCTGTTTGAAGGTCTGTGTTTTTTGTGGAGTTTTACAAACTATCAAGTTGCCTAACTTAGACTTAAGATAACAAGTCTTCATGAATCTTATTACAAATATAGCCTTTTTATGTTTAGCATCAGGTACAGAACACAGTGGTAACTCACCTGAGCTGCTGCTTATATCCCCAGCAAGTGCTCCAGCTTTTCTGCCGTTCTTCACCTTCCTCTGGAGGAGCTGCTGACAGTAACCAGGATTTGCTCCATCCTGGTACGCACACATCACTTATAGTCATCATAACTTCAGCGTCCGCACTGAAGGAACTCTCACTTAGCGTCTCATCATCTGTGAAGTCGTTTGTTTCAAATTCTGCTCCAGACATTTTCCATGAATCCTCCCAGTCAAAGGGTTCATCCTGTTTGATGATTCAAGAGTGGTAATACAAATATTAATAAGTGTTTATCTGATTCAGTGCTCATGTAGCATCTGGCCAAACCATAAAGAGCAGAAATCAACAATACAACAGTCATTGTAATGATCCCCACCTCCTCCTCTAGCTGTTGTATTTGATCAAAGTTGTTGGTTAGGTTTTGTTGGTAGTCAGTCCAGATATGATCCCAGTCCTTTTTCTCCTGCCTGAAGGGAAAGTTCATGATCTTCCAGGTACCAGCCCAAACAGGAAGAGAATACGTTTCTATCGCAACCTTACAAACGTTCTCTCTTTGAAATAGAATATCCCAGTGAAACTGTTTTGCCTCAGAAAGCTCCACCTGGCCTGGACTCTTCACCTGGAAACAAGAAGAACAAGACAACACTGCAAAGTTATCTACAAAATCTGAACAGGTTGTTAACTGAACAGCAAACTCTGTTTGATTAAGATCAAGTGACTGACTTGTCCCTTGAAGGATATTTAAAGATGTGTTTTGTTTATTTTTCTTCTGACCTTGTTTGGGTGTTTTAGACACTTTTACATGTATGGCACCTTGGAAGTTCCTTCTATCAAGCTATGTCATGTAGTCAGGACTGTACCAAAAATATGTCACAGACCTCAAAAACTGCAGGCAATATTACATTTTAGTGTTTGTACCTGTTTCCAGGATTGATTCCACTTATGAGCAGGAAACATCCATTCACCCTTCAGTCCGCTCCCCTTTGCTTTGTACTTGCTGTTCTTAGTTAGCTCTATGGTTGTGAACCCTAGAATTCTGGTTTCCAACTCTTGGGCTTTCAGAAAAAGATACTTTGGTGGCTTCAAGCTCATCCAGGAGTCCTTCCAGCAAATTCGAAATGTATCAACCTCTACTTTGCGCTTTTGCCTTCGAAGTTTGGGTGACGTTGACCTTCTCGGAGGAGGTGGTGGAGGAGGAGGGTCAGCTTTGGGTTTGGGAGGAGGAGGGACAACTTTGAATCGAATTCTGGGCTTGTTTTTTTCTGCTTCAGCTGCACCACTTGTGACTCTCTTAAACTCACTTATGCCATCTTTCATCTTGTCTCCATTAGCAACCAGCCAGTGATAGTTCCATTTTGAGAAGTGACTGCAGATTAAAACAAAAAAACACGCTGGATCAGTGTATATGAATACAGAATCTTAGGTACAGAAACATTCAGCTGTGGACCAAGCACCAAACCTCCTGGCTGGTGATTACAGGCTGGTCTCAAATTATTAATTAAATGATTTGTGAAAATTAAAATGTATTTTATGTAAAACTTACTTTTTAAAAATGTTTAACCAGAAACAAACTTCTGCGTCTTTTCAAGTCAGCCCAAGCTCCATAAACAAGTTTGAGCTGATTTAAGTTATTACTTTTGGATCAGTTATCTGTTGACATTAAAGTTTGATTTTACTGTTGTCTTTGAATGTTGGAGGTGATTCAGGAATCGGTAGAATAATGTGATAATAAATTGGGAAATAAATTCTAAGATAAAAATCTGAAAATCTTTATAGCTGCATTTTCAAATTTTCAACATTTTCTTCACATTGTACAAAAAAAAGGTTTATTCTCACAGATTGGTGGAACTTTTCTGCTTCCATTGTTCCTCTTTTTTGTTCTCGTCGGCGATGCTCTGGGCTCTCTTCTCCCACTGGTCTCTCAGACGCCCATTGCTGAATGTTCTCTGCTCCCCCTTTGTAGACAACATCTTGTTACCTGAGAGATGTAGAAATAATAATAATAATAATAATGATAAAACAACCATAAGAAGCCTTTAGAGTTTTTTTTCCCCAAATGACAGAAACATTAGGATCCAATCTCAAATTCTTAAGGCCCGGTCAGCTACAGCACTGGAAAAAATGTTGAATAGACCAAACGTAACCCAAAACTTGTGAACTATGGGCTTGACAGTGGTTTCAGCAACTTTGTGAGCCAAATGTTGTCCATATGCTACAAAGTATCTGTTATTTGGTCCATGTCAGGCAAACCCTCAGCTAAGTTGAAGCAGCCTGGTCTTTGGTCAAAACTCATAGCCAAAGAAAACCCTAATATTGACAATAACAATCAAAAGTATGACTCCCATGAGTGTGGAGTAAAAAAAAATTCCATTTGTTGATTTAAAATGACATTTGTGGCAGACCTGCCATGAGGGGAAAAAAAAGTGGAACATATTTCAAGAAAAATGATGAAAAAAAAGATGAAGATTGGATTTTTTGTTTAGAAACAAATCTTGTTTCTCATGAACAACTCGATGATTGTACAATCAACAGTTTTGTCTGTGCTTGATTGTGGAGATGCTGCAGGCATGCATGTTTCTATATCTGTAGAACCCAAAAGGTTTTTTTTTTTTTATTATTCTGTTCATCTGAATGTAGCGTTTTCAGTGGGAGAAACGTTTAGTCACTCATCCAAATGACTTCTTCAGTCTCAGCTGACTGCAGGTTTCCCCAACCTTATAAACAGTACATTTGCTTAATAACTGAAACCAGCCCACTGAATGAACAGTGGGCTGTGAGGTTGTTCATTCAGTGGGCTGTGAGGTTGTTCATTCAGTGGGCTGGTTTCAGTTATTAAGCAAATGTACTGTTTATAAGGTTGGGGAAACCTGCAGTCAGCTGAGAAGGAAAAAAGTCATTTGGATGAGTGACTAAACGTTTCTCCCACTGAAAATGTTACGTCCAGATTAACAGAATCAACCTTTTGGGCTTTACTTACCTGGATGACTGAGCATGCATCAAGATATTATTTGTAGAAGTACATTATGATTCATCACAGGTATTTTATTACTCCTCTGTATGTTATATGGAAAAGTATGACAATGCTCCCTAGCAAATAGAAGACCTCTACTTCTTGTTTGAATTTAAAGTGAGTACTTACAGCATCAGGTCACAGGACATTTAACATTAGCTGTACTTGCTGTTCACACTGAACTTGGAAAAACTGGAAATAATTTGCAGCCAATAAATGTAACTACAAAAAACTATGAAAGTGCATTCTGTGATTCAACTGGAACATTTTAAAGGGTTATATTTGTCTATCTGCAACTACTCTTGCATATGTTTTTCTTGATTTGTGATCAGTGTAGCTGTTTGTCTCAATATTTGGACACGTTTGTTGTACACGTCTCTAAAAATAGATCTAAATTTCAATGAGACTAGCTATTAAAATAAAGGATTTAATAATAACAATAATGCGACAGTGGTAGGAAGAATGTGTACATGCCAGACTGGAATTGGATGTCTGTATTCCTCATTTAGACCCTGATTCATCCACTGGAAACTGATGGAGGAAATTGAGTTCCTTAAAAGGTTTTGTCTCTTGCAAAGGCACCTGTGTTGAAAATGGGGCTTTTTTTTGGTGTGCTGGTAAAGAATCACCAGAGATCTGTTGATTCTTTTACTTCTTCCTAAACTACATCATGGGCTACTTCTGACTTTAAGTATCATTAGTTATTCAAGATTGCAGGAAAAAAATTAGATGTATGCTGCACATTCTTGGAACAATGCGCCTCAAAATGAAACATTTTACATAGAATATTTTTTATTAACTTTCTTGTGGGGTCTTGCGAGATACTGAGACACAGATTTCTATCTGGTCTCAAAATTGAGATCTTTGGAGGGTAATGTAAATATGTTAACAACTGCACCATGGAGCATCATTTGGTTATTCATTACAACATTTATTATTAAAACTAATTATTAAAATATCCTTTCCAGGTTTTATTTTTCTTAGTTCAGATGTCATATTGTCTACCTTGACTATATTCCTTGAAGTTTAGTTTGGTTTTTCAGTTTGACTGATTAATTTTACACTTTACTGTTTTCCCAAGTTATACTGCAATCATTTCAAAGACATAGACTAAACTTTGAAGTAGTGAACCTATTCAGAAGATCATCACAATTCCCACAGTACACAAACACAATACAACACAGAAATGTAGCACAACATTGGCAGCCACAACACACCAAATGTCCATTCTTTACCTTGTTTTCTCTGTATGGCTTTTCAAAATATGTTTCCAGTTTTGAGTAATTAGTAAATTAAGTTACTAATACACCACTGAGCTTATCTAGATAAACATACTTTCATTCCGTATTGAATTCAGAAACGGTATTCGATATGAAACCTTTCCAACACTTTAAATTGGTACTTAAAAAGTAATCACCACCTTGTCTCCTCTTAGATACATACCGATAGTTCAACACAGTTATGAGCCCAGCTTTGGTCCAGTTCTCAGTGCAGCGCTTGTTGAATACTGGCTCATGTAACTGTGACACCAGACCACCACTTATGCTCTAAAATTAAACTCAGCTCTTCTTCAAGGAGCGACAACAACAAAACATCACAGCACTGATTCAGGAAAGATGGAGATTCTGTGTCATTTAAACATAATAATAATGTCAGTTTGTTCATTTTAATCTGAAAATGTGTATATGTTAATGCCTTTGCTGTCAGTTAATGGTTTGTACTCTTCAGTTCATTATGATTCAAAAATAGAGAGAGGCTTTCACTATTTAAATAAAATGAAGATTCTCAACATTTTCTAGAAATAATCAGTCAAATTATACACAGGATATGTATATGATACTTTGATAAACTACAATAATATGGACAACCAGAGTCAGAGTTACAGTGAACTCAGAAAGGTCCCCGATTTTAATCTTTGTCTGCCTGGAAAACTGACTCTGGACTTAGCAGTGTCTGTGTAAATAAATGAAGCATACTTAACAGACTAATGATGAGCTAAAATTAGAAAATGACCTCACATCTCCTTCACCACCTCAGTGTTCAGGATTTCCCCATTGGACACTTAACAAGAATCAAATGACAATAAACTCAAGAAAAGAAATGACTACAGGCCTGGAAGGGTTAAAAATATAAATGAAATAAAACCTTTCCAAACATACCACAGATTGCAAGGATCAGCTATGATTATCTAGGCTAAAGATGCATATCTCTCTTTATTTTTGACACACAAAGTTAAAACTGTTATCCGTCCTCTCCTCGGAGTCTTAGGAAGTGGTTAACAGTTTTCATTTTTCTTTGTAGGTTGGAGGATGCGGTGGTATGAGAACACACAGGTTTCTGAGTGCTCCTGTCCTGACTAAATTTTTGTGTTGAACTTTTAGGTTTTGTCAACAAAATTGCTTGGTTAGTAAAGTAATCCTGCCACAACTGGTGCAGTGCAGATATAAGGACCCAAATGCAGGACAAAGTAACAAAAAGGGAGCTTTAATGACTGATAAAAAAGTTAAATATGATATGATATGATATGATATACCTTTATTAGTCCCACAACGGGAAATTTCATATAAACTAAGTCTAAAGGATAATAATACAGAAATTCAGAAACACAGAAAATCACACAGAATTGTGAAAAGGGACTAAACATGAACGGTGGACTAATTACATCACAAGAAACAGGAGGGAGCATAAAAAAAAGCAACCATCAACAGGCGAAGAGAATCAGGGAAACGGGGAAAGCTAGACAGGAAATAAAAATGACACATGGCACATAAAGGACTTTCAAAGTAAAACAGGATATAACCAACAGAGAACTAAGACAGACATGTCAGTGAGAAAAGAACACTGGGGGACAAAGGTATTAACACAGTACTACAACTGCTCAGTACATAAATCAGAAGAAAAGATATGACAATAACTTAAACTCAGCACTATAATAATCATAAAGTAAAAAATGGAAACAAAGACTTAATATCACATCAATTAAAACTCACAAAAGAGATCAAAAGAAACCAAAAATCCAAACACTAGCCAAACAAACCAAAACTTAAGTTCATTAAAAAAGAATCCAAGATCAAAAACACAAAACCATAGCACCATGACACATGCTTTTTAGTGGTGCTAATAAACACTTTCACAATGTCTTCAAAAGCCCTGAAGGCAAACTTCTCTCATATTCTGTACCTGATGAAAGATGTTGCTTTATTGAAGCAAAGTACAGGAATCAGAAAAGTTAGAAAAGCAAAAAAGGAAATAAGAATAAAGCTTGGACTGACAATCAGAGCTCCTGGGCTTGAGAGGATTCAAATCTTACTTTTAGTCGTTATTCTAAAGATTAGATCAACGTCTGACCAAAGTTGCCTTTTGTTACTTTTTGCATTCAGGAACATTAACTTATTAACGGATAATGTTGGGTTTTTAATTTGAGCATATGTCAAATATGCTCAAATTAGGTCTTTCAAATAATGCATTTATTACCGTTTTTCTGTTAGTGGGTGGAAATTATTTCTCTGAGGTCTAAGTCATCAGGTGCTAATCCTGTCCCACATTTGGAGAAAGGTAAACAGACTATTCTGGAAAAGTTTTTAATGTTTGTGAAAATGGTTGTCCTCCTTGATCCCTAATTGATGAGACTTGAGAGAAGAAATTCATAAAAAAAACAAGCTTTAATTACATAATCTGACTGCCCAGGGTTAGAGTTCAGGTTTGGGTCATCACCAATGGTGATGTAGACCTGAGAGGGTTAAAAATGTCTTTTAAGTTTTGCTTTTATTAATGTAATACTTTTGTTATTGTAAGACTTGACAGTCCAAGCAGTTAACCCTGGGAGCCTACATTACCCACAGTGCAACTTGACCACTGGCATGTCCAAGATAAAAGTGTTTTATGCTTCTAGCAGTATTTGAGCCTTGAGCCTCTGTGTTATAGCCTAGCCCTATAGCTTACAGATGCACACAGACATGTAATGTAGCTTTCTTCATTCAGTATCTTTAGTATTTTTTTCTTCAACAGTCTAATTGAAATGAATTATATGGGTAACTAATTCATTACAATATACAGGAAGTTCAATAAATGTCAAATTAAAAATAACAATCCCAACTTACCTGAAGTCTTTCTGTGTCTCAGTTGTTTTATTTAAATCCCCTCTTACATGTAACTCTGCATTAAAGTGGACCACAGTTTGTGTTCACTACTGACTGTCAGTGTCTGCGCCTGTCTGTCTCTATACTTTACAGCAGCTTCAGTGGTTCCTGTCTTACTCTCTCTCTGTTTTCAGTTCGTTTCTGCTTTTAACTTTTACCAGCGTACACTCAGTGTGTCCCGTGTCTCTGCTCTGTGGTGAGAAGGCTTCCCTGCTTTGCTATTTTTACATCATACGCTAACATATCCAGTGCTCTAAATTTAGTTTCAGGGTGAGGCAACGAGAAACAGGACAGGAGCAGCCGGCTGCATGGAAATACAGAGAAGTGACATGAATTGTGCACAATCGAAATGGATTTTTAATTAACAGGTGCAGCTGCACAGACAAACAGGACAGCTGTTTGCAAGTGTTAACCAATCAGAAACCAAATGGTTTTTGAATCTTTAACAGCTGTAACATGCACATTTACTCCTCCAGAGATTTCTCACGCCGCCTGGCAATCAGCCAATCAGCACAAAGAGTCTGAAACACCTCTCCATATCAGATTGCAGGCATCCAGGCTCCCGTGGGAAAAGCTGGGTTAACTGTCTTTCTGACAGTTGGAGTACTTGGAAGTGAAACTGTCCTGGTTTACAAAATTGGTTCTAGCTTTAAAAAAAAA